AAAATTATGCCTATTTTTTTGTCAGATTGGCAGAAATTATATTTTTTGGTGTGCTGCAGAATTTTAGTAATTGGTTTATATAGTAATTGGTGCCGTGAGATAGAAAAGATTGAAGATCTTTGGTCTAAGGTGCTCTTGCCTCAGGTGCTGGAGTTGTTGCTCTCTCACTGTCACTACAAAATCAGTTTGTCCCATTCCAATAGCTGTAACTTCACCTTTTTTCCAATAATCTCTACTCACACCCAGACCTTTTATACAGAAGAGTCAGGTGCATGTGGGGTAAGGCATTTTATAAAACTTACAGAAACTCATTATGCCACCCACACTGGCCAGCATGAACCACTGCATGACTCACAAGGCGGTGCACTCGCCAGGTGGTGATCAGCCTTATGATATGGGGCTATATCGATGCAACAAAAGAATCCAGGTGGCTGAGCCAATCTGAAAGCCTGAGGGCCCCTTTTGACTGGGCTGCCAACCTACCGGTCTAGAGCTGCCATGAATGAACAGAAGATCATCAAGCCCAGGAATGGTCAGGAAGAAATCCCAATTTTTTAAATAATAATAGGTCATCTTGATCATTAACCAGGAAATGGCTGAGAGATGATCCCATTTCTGAGCACAGCCATGGTCAGCGACCAAAGTGCCTTATTAAAGTGTTTGAGCCAGGAAGAGGTGAGGAAGCTGGAGTTTGAAATCTAGCTGAATTTAGTTTGAGGAGGCCATTCCAATGCTCAACAGTATCTCGTGCCCGTGAGTGATAGCGAGCATGACATATCCATCAAATACCTTGACCATCAGCACGTTGTTGAGCAGCTTTTGTAATAAAAAGCACAGCATCATCAAGTTATAGGTGGTCCAGAAAGCTGAAAAACATGACACAGATTTGTTTCAAGGGCCACAATAGAGAGGCTGGAACTAGCTGATTAGGCTGGAACAGCAATATTGTAAGCTGAAAAGGTGTCAACAGCAGAGGAGGTCAACAGTCTGATATATTCAATCTTCCAAGAGCTGAGCCTAAGAGGATGGATGTGCTGCCATGTCCAGGGCAACAATGCAGCCAGGCAGTAATGGGCAGCGTAGTCTTGGTGTGAACAGCAGCTTGACACCAGAGAACTGGCCCTTATTATGGGCATCTACATGAGTGGTCCAGAGAGTTTGATCAGCAGCTGTGACTTGTCATATTTTGCAGCCCCAAAGAAAGGTGCCATTAACCTACCAATCTGTACTTTTCAAAGTGACAGACCAAGCTACCTGATCATGAGCTACACCCAAACGGCCAGTAAATATACAAGTTTTTTTATATACTTTTTAGGGAGGACGGGAAGAGGAGGAGAGAGATAGAGAGAAACATCAATGATGAGAGAGAATCATTAATCAGCTGCCTCCTACACACCCCACACTGGAGATCGAGCCCACAACACAGGCATGTGCCCTGACTGGGAATCGAACCGTGACCTCCTGGTTCATAGGTCGACGCTCAACCATTGAGCCACGCCGGCCAGGCAAATATACAAGTTTTATCAAGAGGAGTATTGGCCAGGGCTATGAGAACAGCCTTGAGTTTTGCACAGCAAATGGATCAATCCTGCCCAGGTTTGGTTCTGCAAAGCTGGTACCATGCCGGCAGGGGGTACAGTTGGGAGTTACCAGGCCAGCAGTGGGGACAGTTAGGGGCGATCAGGCAGACAGGCAGGTGAAGAGTTAGGAGCCAGTGGTCCCGGATTGTGAGAGAGATGTCCGACTTCCAGTTTAGGTTCGATCCCGAGGATCAGGCCTAAGCTGGCAGTCAGACATCCCCCAAGGAGTCCCAAATTGGAGAGGGTGCAAGCTGGCCTGAGGGGCCCTCCCACCGTGCACGAATTTCGTGCACCAGGCCTCTAGTACTACATAATAAAGAGGTAATGTGCAAATTGACCATCACGCCCTTGCACAAGATGGCCACCATAAGATGACTAGTAGGGGAGGGCAGTTGTGGGCAATCAAGCCAGCAGGAGAGGGCAGTTGGGGGCAACCAGCCCTGCACGGAAGGGCAGTTGGGGGCAACCAGGCCTGCAGGGCAGGGCAGTTGGGCATGAACAGGCCAGCAGGGAAGGGCAGTTGAGGGCAACCGGGCCAGAAGGGGAATGGTTAGGAGGTGATCAGGCTGGCAGGCAGAAGTGGTTAGGGGCAATCAGGCAGGCACGCAGGCGAGCGGTTGGGAGCCAGCAGTCCTGGACTGTGAGAGGGATGTCCCAGATTGGAGAGGGTGCAGACTGGGCTGAGGGACCCCCCGCCCCAGTACACAAATTTCATGCATCGGGCCTCTAGTTGTTTAATAAATACAGTGGGGCCTTGACTTACAAGTGTCCCGACTAATGAGTTTTTCAAGATACGAGCCGTCTCTCGACCGATTTTTTGCTTTGAGTCGCAAGCTAAAATTCGGGTTACGAGCCAGCTTCAGATACCCCACTGCTAGTTGGCGCAGCGAACGCCACATCAGCCCAGCATCATGTCTCACTCATTCACTTTTGATTTGACATACGAGTAATCTGAGTTACGAGCTCCGTCACGGAACAAATTAAACTCGTAAGTAAAGGCCCCACTGTACCTTCTTATCCTATATGAAAAATCAGTAATATGCAAATTGGCCATCATGCCCTCGCACAAGATTGCTGCCCCCATGGGGTCACAAAATGGCCACCCCCATGTCACCACAAGATGGCCAGCAGGGGAGGGCAGT